TTTGAAACAGGAGGCTCAGAACATGTTCCTGAACCAGATCCCAAGGTTTCAGAATCCATTCATGCAGAACATGTTTCTGAAGATCAATCACCTGTTCAGGGGGAGATTCCGCCAGAATCAGCCACAGGATACAATCAGTCTGATGAAGCTAATGTCCAAGGTCAACCATCCGAAAATCAGAAAATCCTTTCTATTCTGCTTGAGAGTAAAGACAAGCAAGCTGCTCTAGAACAACATATGTAGAATCTACAGAACATTGTTGAGGAAAACACCAAGGCTCAACAACTTCAGGCAGCAGCAGATAAAGCAGCATTAGAGGAAGCCATTACTATGTGCTCATCCAACATGGATAAGGCCATAAGTCAATGCAGTTCGAAAATTGAGGAGGCTGTCTCAATATTGGAAAATTTTCAATTGATTCGTACTCCCAAAAAATAGCCTGTTTTTCAAAATTTCTCTCCATATTTTTTTTATTGGTCTGTAATATATCTCACAATTATTGTTAGACTGGTTGATTACTTAATCTCAGTGATGTATTCTCTCTATTATTATCTTTTTGCTGATGACAAAAAGGGGGAGAAATTATGTGCAGATTTGCAGGTTATATTCAAAGGAAGAAAGACACAAATATCAACAGAGTTTGCTCTTTCAATCTGTGTTTCTTGAGCTTAATATGTTTATTTATTTTCAAAATAATTCAAACTGCAAGAAAGTTTTGTCACCATCAAAAAGGGGGAGATTGTTGAGGAAAACTCCTATTGATTTTGAAGTTGACAAAACCTTCTATGTTATTGTAAATCTGATACTTATTCTGAACAAATTTATTCCAGGTCTGTATATTCTGGAAGCTCAGAAGAAAGTTATTCAGACTTTACAAACTGTCAAGTATATTTTTGAGGACCCACATAATCTAGGTTCTGAGATTCAGACGCAGAAGTTATTCAGATGCAGATGCAGATGAAGAAATTAATCAGACGAGAAATTCTTCGGGCCTTGACGCAGAAGTTCTTCGGTGAGATGCGGCACGAGAATTTCTTCGGACGCAGTGGAGTCGAATGTAACACAACAGCTAGTGATCTGGCATGAATTTCACAGAAGGAATGTTCTGATTGTCTCAATCTCAATCAAATTGATTGACAATCAAACATCACGACAAGAATGCATTACAACGGACAAAGCTCTACTTATGGAAACCAAGATTCTGATTGTATGGGCGACCAGAATCAGCGGGATTCAGAATCTGTCATCCAACGGCTACTCAATCCTTATTATACAAATTTGTCCAAGGTGAAGATTGGAAGATGATCCTCTGAAAGCTGTCCAACGGCTAGTAGAGGAGTATTTAAGAGGATCAACGAGCAGCAGAAGGAAGTACAGAATCAAGAATCAACAAGTCCAAAGTCTGAACATACTCCAATCATTTCTTTTGTCATTCTGAGCCAAACATTAAGATCTTGAGGAACACTTTGTAAGAATGATTATGTGAGATAGAAAGTTCTATCATACACAAGAGTGTTAACACTCAGAAGTTGTAATTCCTCTTGATTACATAGTGAAATCCAGCCGGTAGGCTGTAAGCGTGGGAGAGTGGACGTAGGCTTGCTATAAGCCGAACCACTATAAACTTGTGTGCAGATTCTCTATCCCTTATCTCTTACTTTACATTCTGCACATCAAGAGAACCGTCTTTATAATCTGTCTTGAATCTGCATTTTATTCAGACTTTACTGTGATTTATTTTGTTTCCGCATAAATTATCAAAAATTGTTTAAGATCACATATTCACCCCCCTCTAGGTGATCCTTGCTAGCTACATCACAATGTAGTCCTTCCATCAATTCAAGTTCAAGAGCTACATTGAACATTTTTATATAGTTCACGAACTGCATTAAACACGTACCAAAAGTCCAGAGACAACAATGAAAGTTCAATAACATATAGGCATGTTGTATCAATGGTGTGATAAGCATACTCAACCACGGTATTTAAAAAAACACGCAGGGTTAAGTTCTTGTGAACGGTGTCGCATACTACCGACTAATCCGAGTGTGCTAGCCTAGTGGCGAAGGGCCTAAAGGCCCCTATAGTAGTTCAGGTGTTAAGGAGGTTTGAAGCATAGTATGCTTCCAATCAGCCGTCTTGGGAGAGGACGCTCTCCATGTTGGGACGGCGGTGAGGCCGTTGCGATGAGCTCATCCTTTCCAAATTCTCAATGCTGGAGACCTCCCCAGGGCGGGGCTTCGAGGGCAATACCGATGGTTCAGGCTTGATATTTTGCAACGTGTTTCGGACTCTAGACACTCACAAGTGAAATTACGCGAATGTCGCGTAAATTATTGTAAGTTTGATGGTATCTTTATAATAACTCACAAGAAATCCAGAATAAAATACAACTTTGCCATTTCTTTCTTTTTTTAATTGTTATGTTCACAACTTATGTAAAAATATATACACGAATAATATTATCCTTTTCATGAACTTGGTGAATCTTAACTTTTATCTAGTCCAATGAGCACAACTCTAGATTTTCTAGTGCAAGCCAAAAGAACGATATCTATTCTACATCCTATACAGCTCGGCCTACGGATTAAAAGAATTGCCATGCATATAGAGACGATCACAGTAGAAGTTCGATTCATCAAAGCCAAAGTGTAAATAATTCTATACATAGATTATTTCGGTAGATTCCGACTTTTTTCTTACTTGATTCATCGCAAGGCTAAAAACAATATCTTGTGAGTCCGGTGTTTATCTTCTTGTCACGAAAAAGAATTGAGATGACTGTTTCTATTGGAGTAGATAGTCCACGATTAGTTCAGTTGATAAACAAATGCAAGGACAAGAGCAAGGTTCAAACTTGGCAATTATAACTTTGATCCTATACAAAATTCGAGAACAGCGTGTGGAATATTTGGATATTATGAATCAGACCATACGGGCGACCAACTACAGCACGAGGACAGCGACGACGACGAGGTCTTTACGTGCGCGTGGGGTCATGGTCAGAAAACCTGATGGACGATGTCCTCTGGCGTCAACAGGTGTGAACACCAAAGGAAGAAGTTGAATTGGCTTTTCCCCTCTTTCCCATTTTGAGTCTCTGATCTTCTTCTTTTTTCTCTTTTTCTGGTCAATGAAATCCTCCGTTCTTGTTTGTTTTCTATTTTAGTGACATAGTTTGTTTCGTACCAGAAGAAATTTGACTGTTTGATGCACCTAGGTGACCGGCGAACCCATTATGCGACTAGACGAACCGGCGGGCTTGAAGTCAATGATTTCGGATTGAGTTCAAATTTGGTCGGCTGAAGCGAAACGGCGTGCTGATCAATCCTCACATCATTGGTTGTGATTAACGATGGATTTTCGCGATTCGGGATCGTTTAGATGAGTTTTTTCTATTATTTTAGTATTTTTTATGGGTTAATTTAGAAAAGGCAGTTTCATAATTTTTGCGTTTTGATATTTATTAATCCCAATAGGGTTAGGTTTGGGGATATATAAGCTTGTTTTAGGATTTCGTTTAGGGAGACTTTGGATATTTTGATTATTAATCGATTGAGAGAACAGTTTGTTCCTCGTTATTGTTTCGATTATTCTGTTTAGTCTAATTTCTTTCGCGCTTCGGCATCACCGTTTGTTTGCCGTCATGCGAGGGCTTCTTTCTTCCACGATCATGGGCTTGGCAAAGATCTCAAATACTATTTCACCTTTCCAAGTAGCTGAAGTGACCAGTTAAGCTTTCAATATTAGCAGAGAGGAGCAATAGTGAGTACGAGCGTTGCACGAGTAAGAAGAAAACAATGGACGATTCATGCATCAAATCAATGAATATAAATATGATCCGTCTGAGTTTTGGGAGACCATTGTCAACTGTTCTAAAAAATTAAGCTATTAGATAAAAACACCGCATAATATGATCTTTTTGCCCAGTACTAAGTGTAGACATATTTAATTGGGGAGGCAAATGGGGTCTGAAAAGATTTGAACTCAGGAATTCCAGCTCTGATACCGGTGTTGGGTGGTTTTGGGCCTTTCTTACCCAAAAAACTAGCTCAACGGAAAAGTTAGGTCAACGGGTGAAGTTTTCCCTAACACTTATAAACCGACCATCGCCCCCTTCCAGAACCTCAACAATCTCCCCCTCACACATTGGGCCTTGGGTTGGAGCCGCGACAATTCGTATCTCTCTCGTGTGACCGTTGGGTTCAGGCTTGTTGGCAATCTTGGGCTCCAATATCGTATGAAATTTAGTGGGATCACTGCCACCTGTTCTAAATATTTAAGCTGTTAGATGAATGCATGATTTAATATTTAATTATTCTAACAGTCTGGATCTGTCGCAATATAGACACAGTTTTGATCCCGATCTATTCGCGTTTTTCAGGATATGTTTGAGAGTTTTAATTTGGCGAGTATCGAGTAATCCTCATAGGCCCCGTCTTAAGCTCTAGCTTTTTGCTGGTTTTGGGTCATTCTAGTGCCTGGTGTCCTTATAACCTTTTGCAATTGGACTTTGACAGATTTGCCATGGACCAATTTCTAACTTTTCCTATCCTTCTAGGCGACGACACGACACTTCCGGCTTCATTAGTATCATCCACTCCTATATTTCTTTAGTTCACTTTAGCTGTTTACTTTGTCAATTGCCACAAGTCCATGCACACATTTTTCTATTATTTGTTTGGCAAACAACTCTTCAAAATTTAAATTGACATAAACAGAATTACATTCACTTACAATCGTTATAAAGGAACAGAAGAAAGGAAAAAAGGTGTCCACGAATTTGCATTAGAAGTAGTACAAAAGATCAACAAGATGAATGAAAATAAGAATGTTAAAGTCCATGATAGGTACACAAATTAAAGGGAGGCAATAGCGCAAATGCAATTTTTACGGGGTAATGACGATTCTTTTTTTGGCAAAGTGTTGGAACCAAAAAGAAAAATTAACAAGCTTTGGAAATTTGGAATGAGTGAACAAGTTGGAGGGAGAAATTAACATGCTTTCTGATGGCTTCTGATTTACAATACTCACCCTCTTGTCCTTATATAATAGTAGAACATCTACAATACATTTAATGATAAAGACAAACATCTCATACACTTATTATCCTAAGGACAAAATATTAACACACATTAAATGAGTCATGAAATCTTCAAGCACTCATTCTGACAACATAAAATGAAGCAACAAAAAGTCCACAAATCTAAAGAAAAAGCACACAAACAATACATGCATTTGGAAACAAGCTTAGAAATCTATAGAACTCCTCAATGACCTGTGTCTTCATTAAATGCTTGTAGCTTTTGCCTTCATTCTTCATCATGCACCTGCACGCATTTAATGAGATCTTTGCAGAGAGATCTTCATTCTTGAGTTCACACAGCCCACTGTAATTCTCTCTTATTGATTTCTTTCCATCTTCACGGTGGAATTGTCAACACAACAATCAATTTTGTTAATACTTTAAGAAGTACATTTTTTTATAAAGGAACTAGAAACTCATCCAATGGTGCTCATCAACTTCACAAATTCTTCAAAATCAACTTGACCATCACCATCCAAGTCTGCCTCGCTTATCATCTGCTGCACTTCTTCCTCTGTCAGCTTCTCCCCTAAGTTGATCATCACATTCCTCAACTGCCAAAGAGAAACAAAATTATCAACCAAAACTGCCTTCTATCTTTTCTAAGTAAAGAAGGGTTGTTTTCGTGCCCAAAAAGAATTGGTGATGCTCTTTCGAATGGTGATGAGTGATGGCGAAGTAATGACAAAATAAGATTATTTGAATGGTGAATCCCACGGGAGAATTTGAGAGTTGGTTCAATGCTTGAATGCGCATGCAAGGTCATCTACGTCCTTGCTTGGATTAAAGAAATGCATTTCAATGACGTACAACGAGAAATCAAGACATTTGTATATGCATGAGATAAAATTGAGCTTACCTCACTAGGAGATATGTAACCATTCTGATCCTTGTCAAAGACCTTGAAAGCCTCCTTGAGCTCCTCCTCCACATCAGTAGCCTCCTAATACACATATCCATAATGAGAACGTTTCAGACTCATAGAACATTAGATTGAGATCACATGGATGCCTGTTCAATCATAGGTATCAAGAAGAGGCCAGCTCTTTGCATTTTCTCGTGTGTTTTCACCTTCTTGTTGTTAGCCATCGACCCCAAGAACTTCGCAAACTCGATCGCCCAGTCGCCATCAGCAGCGGCGGCCTTGTCAATCATGTCCTGCAGTTCTTTCTCAGATGGGCTATAGTCTAAAGATCGGATAATCATCTCAAGTTCTTCCAATGTAATGAAACCTGCAAATTTACACCCATAAGGACTACTGATGAATAAAAGAAGTCGCTGCAAATTTCCAATGTGCACGACTATGGTAAAACTCACCATCACCATCCTTGGCAGATAGACACAAAGCTTCTTTGAACTCAAGAATCTGTTCTTTTGTCAGTTCACCAACCATACTAACGTTTCTGGTCTGAACAAAACACTCACCAATCTTGAGAGAGAGAAAGACAGAGAGACAGAGAGAGAGGAGAAGAAGAAGAAGAGAATGATTTGTATAGCCCCAAGCCCACCTTGGGTTGGTTTATATATGTAGAAAGTCAATGAAGACGGGAGTATTTTGAGGAATTCATACTGTATTTGTCGAGGAATCAGAAGGCAAACTTGACAAGATTTCATTTTACGTGGTCTTTGTCTCCAAAAAAAAAAAGTGATCATCAATAATGAGGTCTTTGAATGTAATGGAAGTTAGAAAATCAACATCAACGATCTTAATAAATACTCATGTCTATTTTTCAAACCCTCCCTATTGAAAACTGTTTCTTTTCTATGGATTGCGGATAGAATGAAACGGGGAATTCAAAGAAATATTTAGACTGATGTTTGATTGCCGACTCAAAGCATATCTTACGAGACATAATTATAAATTGCGTTGTTAGCAATATTATGATAGTTACCTTAATTCTTAATGTCTCTCGGGATTATACTTATATTTCATTTGATCGTGCATATCTTGATTGATTATAATTGGTATTATATTTTTCTTATAACCTTAGATAATCATGTACTCTCCACCGAAACATGTCGAAACACATTGAAATATACAGTTATTACACAAATCTCTCTTGAGCGATCCCGAGGGGATTTTGAGTTCACCAGGTAAGTGTACACCCAAGCGCATACATCACATCTTATGTCTTTATATTTTTTTTAATAACTACTAATATCCTTCTCTCGACGTCAATCTTCAACTTGTCCGTCTCCTTTGGGGTGACGTTAGTAGCCTGCCGCGCAGCCAAGCCAACCTCCTTTGTTATTCCTGCACCTTGCAACCACGTCAGTGTCTTCTGCTGTCCCTATGCTACAGACACGTCCACCTCAAACTATTATCTCGTAGCCTGCTGAACTAATTTTTCTACCGTCAATTGATTAGATTACATGTATTCAAACTCCAGTTGGTGTCTTTTCTCTCACCTTGAGTTTGAAAGCTGTTAACGATATTATGATATTTACTTTAATTATTTCATACCTCTCAGGATTATGCATATATCTCATTTGACGATACATGTCTTTGATTGATTATAATTGGTATTATATTTATGTTGCTACCTTAGATAATCATACAATAAAAGCCTATAAATAGGCTCAACTATTTTTCACTGAGACATATCGAAACACATTAGATTATATAGTCTAATCTGGTGTCAAAGCCAGGTGATATGCCTTTTGTGTGTGCATCCGTTAATCAAATTCCACGTGACAATCGTAATCCAACTTGTACTTGAGAGGGGCTGTTGAAATATCTCAGAATGGATCTTATATGTTCTTTATATACATATGGTTTCCCTCCATCTGACTTAAGGTTTTAGGTTGCACTTTCTAATGTGTTTTTAAAATCATATAGATAAAAGCATTCTTACCAATAAAAACCAAAACAAATAAAAGTGTACACAGATCATGTCAATAAATTATATGTGACATTATATGAAAATGATTGATACTCCTGGATTAGTTTTCGTGAATTATCATGAGTTATACAAATTTTTTTATATTGACGTTGCATTTTTGTAAGATTGGAATAAAAATATTTGGAGAGAAAAGGAAAGTGAGATCATGTACACTGAATATATAAGTAATGAATATTTCATGTTTGGAAATAGAAGCAAAGAGGTTCCTTGAGATGGAAACCTCGCATTTTTGTAGGTCAGCACAGATTATTAAAGATAAGGATAATAGTCCATGAATTTTGACCCAATATGCAATGTGGTCCTTGAACTTTTAATTTATTCAATATGATCCCTGAATTTTTTGTATATGTTTAATTTAGTCTCCGAACTATATAAAAATGTTCAATGTAGCCCTTCCATCAATTTAAGTTCTGGGACTGCATTGAACATTTTTATATAGTTCAAGGGCTACATTGAACACATACCAAAAATTCAGGGACCACACTTAACAGATTAAAAGTTCAGTAGCATATAGATACGTTGGATCAACGGTGTGATAAGCATACTCAACCACGGTATTTAAAAAGAACACGTAAGGTTAAGTTCTTGTGAGCGGTGTCGGATACTATCGACTAATCCGAGAGTGGTAGCCTAGTGGCGAAGGGCCTAAAGGCCCCTACGATAGTTCGGGGGTTAAGAAGGTTTGAAGCATAGTATGCTTCAAATCAGCCGTCTTGGGAGAGGACGCTCTTCAGGTAGAGACGGCGGTGAGGCCGTTGCGACGAGCTCATCCTTTCCAAATTCTCGACTCTGGAGCCCTCCCCAGGGCTAGGCTTCGAAGGCAATACCGATGGTTCAGGCTTGATATTTTGCAACGTGTTTGGGACTCTAGACACTCAAGAAGGGTTGCTTTGAGGACTCACAAGTGAGATTACACCAACGTCGCGTAAATTATTTTAAGTTTGATTGTATCTTTATGATAACTCACAAGAAATCCAAAATAAACATATAACTTTGCCATTTTTTTTTTAAATTTTTATGTTCACAACTTATGTAAAAATATATACACGAATAATATTATCCTTTTTGTGAACTTGGTGAATCTTAACTTTGATCTAGTTCAACAAGCATAGCTCTAGAATTTCTAGTGCAAGCCAAAAGAACGATATCCATTTTACATCCTATATAGATCAGCCTAACCATGCTTACAGAGAGGATCACAGCAGAAGTTTGATTCATCAAAGCCAAAGTGTGAATAATTCTATATATAGATTATTCAGACGGATTCCAACTCGTGTCTGATTCATCGTAAGTTTAATAACAATACCTTGTGAGTCCGGCGTTTACCTTCTTGTCACGAAAAAAGTGAAATCACTCTTTCTGTTTGAGTAAATAGGCTGAGATTAGTTCAAATAATTAAGAAATACAAGGACGAGACTAAGGTTCAAACTTGGTGATCATTAACTTTGATCATATTATATAATATAAAATTCGAGAATAGCGCGTGGAATATTTGGATATTAGGAATCAGACTGTAAGCGCGACCAGCTACAGCACGAGTACGAGGACAAGGACGAGCTACAGCACGAGGACGAGGACCAGGACCAGGACGAGGTCTTCACGTGCGCATGCGGTCATGGTCAAAACCCTGATGGACGATGTCGTTTGGCGTCAACAGGTGTGAACGCCAAAGGAAGAAGTTTGACTTGGCTTTTCCCCTCTTCCAATGGTTTGTTTCGTCCCCGAAGGAATTTGACTGGTTTGTTTGCCGCCATGCGAGGGCTCCTTTCATCCACGATCATGGGCTTGGCAATGGCAGCCCAGCGTCCTTCACTCACTCCCCTGTTCCTTTTTTCACTCCCTGATGAAGGATGCTTAAGCTGACAAATGTAAGTTAAAGTATCCTTTGGTATAGAATGTGAATGGGAAAGCTAAGAGCAGCTAGAGCAGATGGTTCTTCATCATGCCTTGCCTACTAAAACAGGCTTCACAGAAAAAGATCTACATCCTATCCAGAAGACATCCTTGACCTCCGAGGTTGTGTCTGAGGTATAGAAGTGTTCAGGCCAATCCAAACAAAACCCAGTTTACCAGCTACACGTTTTTTTTTTAAAATAGCTGAAATGACCCAGTTGCACTTTCAATTGCAGCGGAGAGGAGTAATAGGGAGTAACTATGGTGCATAAGAAAGAAGAAAAGAAGAATGATTCGTGCATCAAATAAAAAAATATGAATATGATGCGGATCTGTAGCAGTATAGCAGATAAAAAGTTATTGAATGTATTGATACAGTATGCTCAAACACAGGACCTTGAGTCGACAAAAAACACAGATTTTGCTATTTGGAAGTGGGCTGTATGCACGGGCATGCGCTATTTCTCAGCTTCAAGTAAAAAAAGTCTCTGCAGGCACTTTAGGGAGATGTATAATTGATTAGGACATCTCAGACGGCTTGCGGACTTCCCTGAGCTGGACCGAGTTATCATAACAGTGATAAAAACCAAAGTGCGGGAATCTCTCGTACCACGTTTCTTCCTGAACATGCGTATCCCAGTGCTCCCCGCTGCTGCTCTTGCCGTACTTGTGGATCCACCCGGAGCCGTTATGCTGTTCGCTCCACGTGCGGTTCCATCTCTCTCCATGCTTGCCTTCCCACCATGCCTCCCCTTGCTTCACGCCGTGGCCGTTAGGATCGAAATTCTCGTCCCATTTGTCGCCCCATTTCGACCACCCGTCACCCTCACACCTCTCTGCCCATTTGTCAGTGTATTTGATGCTGCCACCATGTCCATCGTACTTCTCTCCCCACCTGGTAAGGCCCCAACAGAAGAAAACAGAATATATGCATCACGAAACTGCTTGAAAGTGAAGGCACTCGCAGTTTCTATAGTGTGATTCAAAAACGCAGCCCCGAATTTCATAAGACAGCAGGACATGATAAAAAGAATAATCTATCCTTGGCAAACAAACAATGTCCACTCTACAATTGTCCAATGGTAAACCCTGGTTCATCAAGTAAAAGCAAGAATTGTGGTCGTTGGCTCTAGTTTACTGATTACTCTGCGACTCGTACAATCATGTTAAACTAAAGTATCTTTAACAACTGAACTATGTATGCTTACTAAGCTCAATGATCCTAAAGACGAGATAATAGTTTGGCACTGAACCCCCTCTTCTCTACAAGCACACAACCCCAGGCACGCATGCACGGAACATCCAGTGATTCAGAAGAATTCAACAAATTTAGGAGGTTATAATCACTCAGAAAAATAAAGGAAGGAGAGGAAGTGTCCAGCAAGTCCAACAAACGCATCGGTAAAATCTCTTTATCAAGCACGACTGAAGAGGATTATAACTGGTCATCACATGAAAGGTGATTAAAAGGCAAGCATGGTTTATAACCAAATAAATCGCACAGGATAGAGGACCTCCACAATCTGAGCTTTCTAACCTTTCATGCCAAACGTGAGCGTGTCCAGCTTCAAGTTGTGTTGTTGGGTCAATAGAGCACCACTTGTGGGCCCATTTCTCCGCTTTGCCTGAGGCATCATAATGTTCCTTCCATGTCTCTTGCCACTCTTCGTCTTTTCCGTTTTTGCCCCACTTGTCAGCAGTTTTCTCGAGATGTACAATTCCTGAATTCTGTCAACAGAACCAGAAGGTTTTGCTTCAGATATTTCCCTCAACACAAGGATAGACCAGACAAGCTCGTTAGCAAATAGATGCGATACTATAAGTGAATACTAAAGCTGCTCCTTAGGAGCAGAAGAGGACATCCATGTATGCTGGGAAATCATACGAAAATCCTCTGTTCTGTTGACATGGTGAACTGAAGTGCAAAGATGAACATATTGGTTCAGGTGCGTATGGACCATCTGCATAATGTATAACTACATTAATGTGTGTAGTGTCGGAAACATCAACTGCTAAACCTTTCTGATCAGCAGTCTTCTCACAGACATAAAAAGAGAACGTCAAAAGAAAGAACCGCAGAATTCCTTGAAAAATTATAAAATATGTTTCTTTGTTTTTTCCCATATAGATAGACCTTCATCAAGAGTACGAATCCCTACAAAAAGTCATTGTGAGAAGAGATACTACTGCAAAAGAACAAATGTGAACAATAGATGCCGCATTCTAAATCCAAGCTTCAGTATTATTTGAATTCAGCAATTAGGCCAGTGCAAACTGTAATTTAATAGTCTCGTATCAAAGAAAGGGAAGAGATTTTTGTTCTTTTAGGACAGAACTAGTTTATCGAACATTTCATTTTATGCTCCCTCCATCTCGTGAAACCAATAGGAAGAGGAATTAACAAAGAAATGAACTGTGAAGTTTATCATCTACCTGCCACATAGACTCCTTCCAATGCTCACGCCAAACATTTCCATAGACATCACGCCCAGATTTCTCAGAACCTAGTTCCTTGTGACCAAGCTCATTGGCAGCCTCCCAAAATTTCTCCTGCCACTCTGTGACTTGATCAGCACTGACACCCCTAGTCATTGTCCACCTACAAAGCACGCCATCGGGCCTCCTCTCCAATCCTGTCTCTTTCCACCACCTCGATCCATCTAAATTCACTCCTTCTGATGTTAGTATATCCACTTCATCCAGTGCACTGGCTGCTTCAGCAGCGTGTGCTGTAAATAAGTGGTCAAGCTCATGATCCTCTGTTAAGGCCGACGCCTCTTGACTCGTGTTAGAATCCAGCTTCTCAACCTCCATCAGTGACTGAAGAGGTGGAGTAAGTGGGGAGAAAAGTTTACTCTCAAAAGGAATTGGAAGAAAATCAACCGATCGGTCTTTCTCGACAACTGAAGGCATCGGACCCATGGACGAGGAAGACTTCTGCAGCTTCTGCAAATCCATCCCATCTGAGCTGTCTTCGCTATTTGGAGGGGGTGTCCAGGACCAAAAATCTGGACCCAGTGTGGCACCGCCAGAAGTTTCAGAGGTAGGCACGGATATCCTTGTCTCATTTTCTGGCAAAGTTCAGCGGCAATAAACTTAGTTACCGATGCCAATGTAACAAAGCATGAACAATTACCGTCGTTTACGATAACAAAAAACAACAATTGACAGATGGATTGGTTGGTGCTGCTGCTGCACTAAAAGAAGAAAAGCTATGACTGGAATTACAACTCAGGGAGACAGATGTTGCACAAAAATCAACAATGAACAGTTAACGGAAACCGACTGACTTGGTCTCTGCCATAGCACATCATCACATTGACATACTTTGGGGGCAACAAAATTATGCGCTTTAGATCAGAACGAGCACGAACTAATACTGCAGTTTGCGAACTGATCAATGACTAAGAACACAGAGCAAGAAATTTGCTGCTCTTTCCATACATTTCCAGAAGATCAATCTCACCCCCCAGTCCCACAAAATTTTCTCCTCGATTGCAAGTCTCCGAAACTACTCATTGGCCAACAATTTAAATACAAATAAGAAATTCCCAGTCGCATGAATCTTAGCATTACAACGAAAATTTATGATCTGCATAATCCATCAGTTACTAGTTCAAAGAACAGGTTCAGAAACGTCATAACACATCATAAATTATAAAAATTACCTCTTTGCTCATCCTCCAAAGCCCCACCACCCTGACCGCTTCCATTTTCACTTCCACTACCGCTCTCCGAGCTTGCATTCTCCTTCACGATCGAGCGCGCCGCCGCGATGGCCGCGGCCGCTCGATCGATGACCTGCATCCTCTGGACCCTGTCCCTCTCCTCCTTCGGCACCTCCAGAATCCTCCTGAACTCCTCGCTCTTCTTCTCCAAATCCTCCACCACGCCGCCGCCGCCGCGCCCCTCCGCGATCTGCTGGAACTCGACCGACCTCCTCTCGCGCTCCACCGCGCTCTTCCACGTGTCCAGGTACGAGCCACCTCCTCCATCCGAATCCACCCCAACCCTCCACCCGATACGGCCCCGTCCTGCGGCGGCGCCGCCCGGCACGCACCACCGCGCCCACTCGAGCATCGGCGACGCCCGGCGAGCGCAGTGCCGATGATAGGAGGCGGCGGCGGGGGAGCAGGAACCGAGCTGGGAAGCCAAAGCCATTTTGGGCAGGGAGGGAGAGCCTCCGGCGGAAGGAGGGGTCAGTTCAGAGGCGGGAATGGCGGCGGAGGAGCGCGGGCGGGGGTGGCTTTGAAGGGATGTGATTGGGCGACATTGACGTGTGCTGGAGTTAAGGAACTTGTGGTGGGTGGGAGGGTGGGGAGAAAAAGCGCTTCGGATTTTGGCCTTCGTTCGTGGGGCTGTGCGTGCGTGTGTTGCAGTGAAGTGTGCAGTGAAATGCACTTTGCTTATCGGTGGAGAGATTCGTGCGCCATGCAAGTGGAAAGGAAGGTTCTCGCTTCTTCACTCCCACTTGCTACTGTCGGTGCCTGGATTCCTGCGAACTGCCCTTTCTTTGCTCAGGACACAGGAGCGGACGAAACATCAAAGGAGAAGGGAGGGACTTGGGTTGATGACACGTGTCTCGAGGGAGAGAGAGAGAGCGTGAGTCACGTGAGCTGAGCGGGGGATTCGTGGCTTGGAGCCGCATCACATCGAAAAGTACATGGAAGGATGTGTTTCGTTTGGAGTTATTATTATTATTATTACTTTTTTTTAGAATATAATATTTTTCGAATAATGTGTCCTTAGTGAAATAAAGGAGAAAGCTCAGCTATGAAAAAAAGAAAAAGAAAAAGAAGAAGAAGGCAGATGCTTTTTTCAATAGAGGAGAAAGCTATAAAAGCCGGATGCTTTTGATGACACGTGTCGAGGAAGAGGAGCGAGGGTCACGTGACGTGGCGGGAGATTGACGGCAGTGATGATATTAGGGGTGAGCAAGATGGACAGCCCAAATCAAGACCGGACCAGATCAATCGGTGTGGTTCGGTTCTCGGAAATATCGGTTCGGTGCCCGGTTCGTAAAAGTAGAACCGGTTTCCAGGCAGTCCGGTTCCCGGTTCTCAAGTGGGAACCGAACCGGATCGAACTGATCGGATCGGATCGATAAATATATATTTTTAATTTTTTCATATATATTTATTTACTTTTTATAATTTTTTAAAAAATAAAAAGCCTAATTTAATTTTCCCAATTCCCTCTTGCCTTTACCAATAAATGATTGTTCCCATTGGAACCGGATCGGACCGATAGTCTCGTCCGATCCACGGTCCCAAGACTAGTCGATCCATTCCTCAGTCCTAGAAACTGGGAACCCATCCTCCCAGTCCGGTTCCTAGTTCTTGGGTTGGACCAGATCGGATCAGGAACCGCTCACCCCTAGATGATATCTGTCAAGCGGGGAGTCGCGGACGGCCCGATACCGGTTTCGTGTTTCTCGGGGCGCTCCTGCATGGATCTCGCTCACGTGAGCTCGGCGGGTTCGTAGATTGGAGGCGTGTTAATAAAAGGAAATAGATCTTATTTCAAATAAGAACTTGACTCGCCAACGGGCCACGTCTTCGCCGACCGGCAACCACATGATTTATAGCATTCGTCGACCCTTGCTTGACCAACCGCCAGATCTAGCCATGGCGGCTGTGAGCTTCGACTCGAGCTCGAAACTTGGCCTCGCCCGGCAGAGAATGATAATCTATCATCGTGGAGTTGGAACAAGGAGAAGTAGAGATTTTTTTTTTTTTTTTTTTTTTGTGGGAGGCTTAGTGGGATGGATAGAGATGGAGGCCATGAATGGGGCCATCGAGGGTTGACCCGTGAGTGTGACCTGGTTAGGCAGCATAATTGGAGGAAGAAGAGAGAGGGACTAGTTGCAGAGAAGCAAGCAAAGCTCACCCTCCGGCCAAGCTTCGAGCTCGAGCGGGCCACGGTGGCCACAAGCTTCAAGGCCGGCAAGCAGCTACGGCGAGCGCTCCCGGATGTCCAGGCAGCGGTGGGCAGGGACGAACGTGCGCCGGAGGAGTTTGGCCGAGCCATCGTGAGGTGAAGACGATGAACATTAATTTCATCCAAAATTTTATTTTTAATTTTCATGCAGATTTTTTTGGACAAAATTGCCTTATTTCGATGGCCGGGAAAATCAAGTGCAGACAATTCATTCGCAGAAAATCCTCTCACTCAAACCACACATCATGAAAAAAAGGTAGACTTACAATCCATCACACATTTCATCGCACATTTTAGATTGAAATGTTATGTATATACTAGAAAAGTATATATTGATCATAATAAATAATCTGTGTTTCGTACAAGCAAAACGAGAATAGCTCCGAATATATCGAAAACGAGAATAGCTCTGAATATATCGAAAACTAATATCAAGTCATGATAAAAGGCATTTCGAAAATATTGGCATATTCATGTATCATTCATAAGCTATATGCATATTCTACAATTGAATTCTCCAATGAAAATCACATACCGAAACATGAAAAATAAGATAATAAGTATTCCTTTTCAACTAATGCAATAACTCCACAATACAAAATAAATATTTTGAACTATCTAAATTAATAGCGATGACTTTTTCTTTCTTCCCACCGAAACTTTAAGAGATGCAGTTTTAAAATATCGACATAGTCATAAATATTATATTTATCCAACAATATAGCAAAGTGATAACTAGTTTACAAATAGAAGTTCACTGCAATCTGAAGAGTAAAAAATAAATAAAAAAATATTATGATTATTGTAACAAACACGTACTTATATAGTTATATTATATGGTACCTGTTGGACATAGAAGTAAAAGGAGAGAGACGCTAGAGGAAGGGCTTGAACCTTCGACCTTGTGGTTAACAGCCACACGCTCTAACCAACTGAGCTACTCCAGCTTCGCTTTACGCCCTTTTTCATATATATATATATATTTTATATATAATTTCTTCCAATTACAAGCTTGCCATATGCAAGTTGTCTCATCGACTTCTTCAAGTGAAATACAGAAATTAACCAGATGCGAATACGGAACTCGATGCTCCGCTCCCGGAATCCGCTCGCACCAGACCCTTCAAAACACGAATCCACCGCCAAATGGACCGCCCGGCGGCGTGATCTCCGGCGGCAACGAGGGCGGCGGCACGATGTCGGGCGGAGCCGTCGGGGGCGGATCTATCGACGGTGGCCTCGGGGGCACCAAGTCCGGCCGCTGCGGCGGCGGCACCGCCGGTTTCGGCATGGGAATATCGGGCGTCGGGGGCGACGGCAGCGGCGGGCACGGGATTTCGGGCCCCGGGTTCGGCCCGGGGCTCCCGGGGGGAGGATCGCTGGGGACCTCCTGGGGGATCGGGTCGAAAGCCGGCGGCGGGGCCTGCGGTATCTCCAAGGGCATTGCGCCAGGTCGGTAGCTCGGGGGAGGCGGGAACTCCGGCGGGGTCCTCCCGGGCGCGATTTCCGGGCCGCCGGGCGACAGCGGCGGGTCTCGGGCCAGCTCAACCCCGTGCATGCGAGTGGAAGGGAAACACAGGCGCGAGGAGCAAGGCGAGGGCTTCGGCAGGCGATGGATGGACGTGAAGGGAGGGCGAGGAACGGATCTTCTGAGCATGGCGGATGAAATCCAAGACGGAGCTGACGATTCTCTTTCGAAGTTTCCGAGATTGAGAGAGATCTGGAGAGTGAAGATGGAGATGGAGATGGTGACGAAAATGGCTGACGATCGTGCGATTTTTGCGGGGAGGAATTTTGACTGTTCTTGCATGGAGAACTCGGACAGATCATGATACGAGAAGGCGGTCGTGGAAGGACACGTGGGCCGCATTGCGCTGAGCTCGATCGAGGGAGTTTGAGATGGGGATGCGAGGTTCGGACACGTGGTATTCCGAGAGGATAATGTTGCATGGTCAGTTTCATTTTCATAGACCTTGTTTAAATAAGAATTATAATAGGATCGCGCTTTTTTCACTTTTATCATGGCCAAAACACTGACAATTTTAACTTTTATGGATCTCATTTTTTTAAACATCTCTTCTTGTTTGGTTCTAGTAAGTCCCATTTTCCTGATTCTTCATTACTTCTCTGTGTTCCTTCTTAATTTTGGTCGTGATTTAAGCTTTGTGGTATCTGTCAAAAAATAAAAAAGAACACTCTTTTTTGTGATCCGTCTTTATCACTTGTCGTCTAGGCTACGTTGAAGTCTTCGGTTTTTCAATCATTAGCTGAAGTTTGATACCCATGGATACAATAGACCTAAAGGCTCCCGCATTGAACTTAACACCTATAAGAACACAGGGATTCGAACAATTGATGGGCAATAGAGCCGCCTCATTGCATAAGGGCTCGAACTTGAGAGTTGAGTTTGCAATCACCTCTTTAGTCCTCTCAAACACTGGCGATAGCAACTCGGTAATTGAGATTGGCACGAAAGTAGGAGAGACCGTGAGAGTGAGGAGGAACAAATCCTCGCCGGTTGCATTTTCAATTTGCGTAAACAGCTTCGTGAGAGAAGGGGGGGCGGGGATGGAAGATTCGAGTCATGTATTGGAGGCTGGTAGGTGATGGCGAATGGGCTATGACGGTGACAATTAGGACCAAGAATACAAAGAGGAAGAAGCAAACATTACTGATAAGCTTGATGAGGTTTTGGGTGAGGGCTTTAGCTTCTGGATTTGAATCTTTAATGGGTTTTTTTTTCTTGTTTTCGTGATCAATCAATTGAAGAGTTTGATGTGAAATGAGATTACGAATAACACAAAGCGAAATAGATGGAATGGTAGTAAAGACATATGAGATGGCTTTTTTGACTTATAGTTGAGCTTTGAGTTGAAGAAATGGAGATGGAAGATGACTGGTTGGGTGAGGAGGTTTTTGCAAATATGGGCTTCAACACAGATTATTGACATGAGAGGGATGTTTTAGAAAGAGAGAGAACAAAGAGAAATAAATAAGAAGAAGGAAAGTGGACCAACGAGAAAAGAGAAAGAAGAAAAGAAATTGAAGAATGCTTAAAAAAGGTGGGACTCACAAAGATTAATATTGTCAAAACATTAATTATAAGAGGGAATGTTTTAGCCATTATAGGAGTGGAAAAAGCGCGATCCTCAGGTTTTTTTTTTTTTGATTTATCCTACTCTAACTCTCAATTCACTCTTAGAATTTTGCCCTACTTCTTGTAGGGCGTAGAAGTC